TATATATATATATATATATATATATATATATATATATATATATAGTGAGCTGCCTCGAGGCTTTGTTGCGATGGGGGTGGCATAGAAATGTTTTAAATAAATAAATAAATAAAACTCCCAAAGCATGAAATCTGTTAGGCAGAGAAGTGTTTATACAAAACAGCCTCACCTCAGACTACACATAGGAGCATAAGTACAGTGCTATGTGCCTTTTCTCTGTAGTTTCTCAAAACCCTATGATTTCCATGTGCACACAAACTGATGTACAAGAAAAAAATAGTTCCTACTCATGTGTGTGTCTGCCATTTGAGTTACTGGCAATGGTGTGCTGCAATTCAATGTTGAATTATAGTATGTCCTGTGCTTTTGACATGGAAATGTGAATGACTGCCTGTTGAGGTGGAATAGATGTTTTACCATTGGCTTTTTCCATTTCTTGCATTAGTATAAAGTTACGATGTTTATGGGAGTGTGATCCAGATGAGCTCTTCCCTTGTAATACCTACCGCCCCACTCCAGCTGGTGGAGGACTCTGCTAGCATCTAAGTTATGGTGTCTACTTAAAATTAAGCCCAACTGAGTTCATTAGTCTTTATTCCCAGCTAGATGTTTGTAAGATTACAACCTAAACAGAGGGAAGTAAGGGGTTTTAGCCAAGTCAGTGGTCTCCAAATTAAGCCATAACATGAGCATAGTTAGCACACTGAGCTCCAAAATTTCACTCTCATGAAAGCCAGTCCCTACGATCCTTTCCCAGGATTGGAAACTACAAGGGGTGTTCAATAAATTCTCAGTATTGATATATTCTGCTTACTTTGCAGGTAACTTGATGATGGTTCCAGGCAGAGATACTCTCTGAGGGTATAAATGCAAAATTTCAGCTTGTTTTGACCATTAGTATTGTTGAAATCATTGCAAACATGAAACCATTATGAGTGATCATAGTAAGGTGATGAAACTTGAGCATCGCACAGTGGTAAACCTCTTGATGAAAGAAGGAAAAAGTAAAACAAAAACAAAAACATTCATGAAGAGATGGTTGCCATGTATCAAGAAGCTGCTCCCTCATTATCCATGGTTCAAAAGTGATCTAGTGGAGGCAGAGAGAGCATCAAAGATGACCCGCGTCCCATACGACCAGTGGAAGCAGCTACCAACACAATTGTTGGGGGAAAAAATGAGAAAATTGTGTTGGAAAACACTTGAATTTGAGTGAGAACATTAGCAGAAATTAGTAACTTATGTGTCTGCACCATACACAACATCCTTCACGACTGACTTAATTTGTCAAAGGTCAGTGCAAGATGGGTACCTCGTATGCATGCAGCCCCACAGAAATAAGTTCAAATGGATTGTTGTAAAGAGTTTTTAAAGCCGTGTGGTGATGATCTGTCAATAATTATTGATCGAATTGTGACCGGAGATGAAACTTGGGTGCATCGCTATGACCTAGAAAGCAAACAGCAGTTGATGCAGTGGCACAAAAAAGGAACACCCCCCTCCAAAGAAGTTCAAAGTCACCCCATCAGCTGGAAAGGTGATAGACACAGTTTTTTTGGAACTGCAAAAGAATTTTACTATTTTCTTTATACTCAATTACTATCAGTGAAACTATCAGCAAGACGTCGTATGCTGCTACTTATGATGTAAGTACATCGATTTTGAGATGCTATTAAAGAGAAAAGGCAAGGAAAATTGAGCAAAGGCGTACAGCTACCCCATGACAATGTGTCTGTGCGCATGATGCAAGTTGCCAGGGCTGCTGTGCCTGACTGTGCATTCCAGAAAATTAATCATTCACCCTATAGCCCAGATTTAGCCCCCCAGTGATCCCTACCTGTTCCCCAATTTGAAAAAACTTCTTCATGGAAAGTGGTTTTCTAATGATGAGCTGAAGTCGACAGTAATTGACCATTTTTTGGGAAGGAAGAAATACGTTTAAGAAATAGAAAAAATACTCACTGGATGTAAGAAATGTATAAATGTCAAGGGTGATTATACAGAAAAATAAAAAATATAATAAATTGTGTAAGTTCATTGCTTCATATCAATACTGAGAATTTATTGAGCACCCCTCATACGTTCATAAGGAGACTGAATCTGGTAACTCGTTTCCCGTCGTTTCCTAGTTTTCCTTTCCAAATAGAGCTGCGTCACTTGCCTGAATATGGAATTTAAGTTCTACGTTTCTGCTCCTCAAATAAAACAACAGCTTGCCCGATCATTCTTGGTATTTACTAGCCCATAGTAAGCTTTTGCAAAGTGACTCGTTTTTAATTGAATCCCCTTGAAAGGAAGGGAATAAACAAAGCAGCTGGTACAGACCAGCGTGTCTTACGTGTTTCCACACCACCGTTTCTAAGCGCTGCTCACTCTCCCTATTGACTTCGAGACCCTTTGTCCAGTACAAGAAAAGGCTGAGCCTGATTGGACAAGGCTGCACCGGCTCAGCTCTCTGAGATCGGCGGACCGATCTAGGGTTGGGTTAGTGAGCAGAATGGTCTGAAATCCTGCCGTGCGATTGGCTTTAAAAATCTATGAGCACGAGATCGCGATTGGCTGCGGTTGCGCGGCGCGTGTCGGAGCACCTGCTCCTTGACGCCTGCCGTCTCGGGGCAGTGGCGCATGCGCACGTATGGTAGTTGAGGTGATGTGTTCTGGCAAGCCGCCGGGATTTTGCCGGGGGAACGCTTACTGGACCGTGGCTCGCGGGCGGTAACGGCTGTGGCCTCCCAGGCACCGAAGGTGGGGGTCTGGACGTTACCGGTGGGTAAGGAGAAATTCAGGGGGTGGTGCGGGGCCGGGCGGGCGAGCGACCGAGGGGTGCCCTACCGTAAGCCTTTAATTCTCGCGGAGGCAGCGTTCCTCCATCCTTTTCTCTCTCTCTCTCTCTCTCTCTCGCGTTCGGCGCAGCCGTTACTCTGCCGTTGGCGCTTGAAGGCTGCGAAACCGTAGCACGAGCTGGGGCTTTCCTGCTTTCTCCCCTTTCCGTCCGCGAGCTGAGGCAACGCATCTTGCGGCTTGGCCTCGGCTTGCATCCCAGCCCGACCCATTGGCACAGGGCGGTACGGAGTCACCCCTTTTCTCGCGGCGGCGCTGCCTCCGAGGAGAGTTGCCTCTGGGGAGTGCGGGAGAGACGCAGAGAGCAACTCCAATTAGCTTTCCTATCTGAGGAGAGGGACGCGCGGGTGCAGACGGCCGGCCGCCATCAGAGGTCTCCGTAATTACCTGCCTGAAGCAAGCGAAGTTGTGGCTAATAGTGTCTAATCGTCTCATTTCTGCTTGTTTGTTTTGTGAACGTGAAGTTGGTTTGATTTTAAACAAATACTGGAGGCCGGTTTACAGATAGGAATCTTGCATTTAAAAAATAATGCTAAATTGATTAAAGATATTCTTTGGGCACTTACAGACAATACATTATCGTGCAAATGGCCAACCTTCTAGACCTAATTTTACTAACATCTAGACAGCATTCTCTGCCATTGAGAGATGGCATTGGGAAAACATGGGAGGGCTACAAATGGAAGATGACTACTTATGGATCCCTCATAAAATTTTGCTCATGTATAGTAAAAGCCACCTCAGGAAGCACCCAAAATTTTGTTAAAGGTACACCATGTCTTTTGAATGGCTGCAGTGCCTGGTGTGCTGGATTAGGACAAAAATTCAGATTTCTATTTGTCCATGAAGTTCACTGAGTGACCTTGACTCATTCTTTATCATTCTTATCTGTATCACCCAAATGTTGCAAAGCTAAAATAAAAGAATAACAGCTGCAAGCAAGGCTCCAGGAAAACCACAGTTTCTGTTTATTTCTTTTCTGTACTGCCCCACAGCTGAAGCTCTTTGGGGAGCTTACACAGTCCATAAAATGGATGATAAAAATACAATAAAATCAGAAAAATATTAAAGTTTAAAACAGCCAAAAACAGATAATAAAAATAGACAATAACAAGAAATAACAAAAAGAGTGACTGCGAAACACCAAGTGATCCCTCTCAAACCCTTGGGTCACCAAGGAAGTCTTGAAAAGCCTCAGAAGAGAGGCCTGTATTAACCTGGTGCTATAACGATTAAAGATTTGGCACTAGCCACAGTGAGGAGGTTATTTCATGAATGGAGGAGGTGCCACTAAGAAAGCTCTTCCCTTGTTGCTTTTGGGAATAATAAAGATGACTGCTTTGAGCATACATCCTTAAGAGCTGCTGGCTGGTCTCCAGAAGCAGCAGCAGCAGCATGGGAGGGGGCTTGGGAATGTGGGCCATCCTCAGACATTGAAATGAGAGAAGCAGAGATGCTTATTTCAAGGCCATACTCCCCAGGCGGGTGTTCCTGGGAATAATCAAGATGTACAGTTGGTGGGAGGGGACTTCTCAGATGCAGATGAGGCAGGCATAGCTCTTGATTGCATGACATGCCATCAGCAGGGAAGGGTGGTCCAGTTAGATGATCAGTGTGCAGAGAGGAGACATGTCCGTTTTTAGACATTCCCTCCTGAAGGGAGCTACCCATGCTCATAACGAGAGTTCCTGGAAGTGAATATTAGATTGGGTTTAATGAACCACTCTGTGCATGCTCAGAGAGTTATTCCAGGTGTTTGTGCATCCAGTGCTTGTGGAAAACACTTTGGTCAAGAAAAGAACATTTTGCATGGAAAGTCTGTGGCTTTGAATCTGTGAAGGGAGGAACCGTAGTTCACGACAGTTGGAACTCTCTGCACTTCCCTCAGAGTTGGAACTTGGAGAAAGGCCCCAGAGGTTGAGTGTAGTGTCCAGGTAGGTTATGGTTGGGAGAAGTGTACAATAGATATAGTGGCCCTATGCCACGTAGGGCTTTATAGGTTAAAACCAGCATCTTGCATTGGGACTGTTCTTATATGTGCAAATCAATAGGTCCTGATTATTAACCTGGCTTCCACTTTCTGTACCACTTGCAGCTTCTGAACTGTCTTCAAGGGCACCCCTATGTAGAGTACCTTTCAATAATCCAGTTTAGGGATTCAAAGAGCCTAGACTACTGAAGCCAGGCTCTCCCTTCCCAGATTGGGGTGCAGCTGGGCCACCCCTGAAGCTGACAGTAGAAACTCCAAGCCACTGATGCCATGCAAGCCTCAAGTGACAAAGATGGATCAAAGAGCACCTGCAAGCTACAAACCTGCTCCTTTGGGGGGGGGGGGGGCAACCCCCCCAAAAAAAAATTTAACCCCCCCCCCCCCAGTTGTTATCAAAAGCATCAGCAAATTCGGAAAGCTTGATGCTGCAGTATATTAGGTTTTAATACTGTTAAAATCTGGCCAAAGGCTATTAATGCTTCTTGAGCTAGACAGAGAATGGCAAGTCTGAGGTACATTAATGCTGGAGCCAATCCAATAGAAAGTTCTCCTGGCAAATCCCACAGAAAATGAACAAGAACTCCCTAGTGTTGTATCGACCTGATTTGTTCCAATTAAGTTTGTGCCACAGAATTCCCCATGACTTGCATCTGCCATTCTTTGTGGCACCAAAACGTTACATTGCAAGAGACTACATTTCAAGTGGCTTCATGGTAGGACTATTTCCATTAATATTATGTTACCATTGCAATCTTTTATGGGAATTTTTACCCAACAATTTCAGTCATGTTCATCCTCAATTCACCCCATGCTGGAGCTTTTGTCAGCATTATATTGAATGGGAACAATGAGCCAATGCTACTAAGAGTGTAACAGAGAGCCAGGGTGGTATGGTGTTTAGAGTATTGGACTGGGGACCTGAGAGATTTGAGTTCTAGTCCCTATTTATCCATGAAGCTCAGCAGGTGACATTGTGCCAGTCACCTACACTTAGCTTAACCTACCTCATTGCATTGTTTTTCTGAGGATAAAATGGGGTTATGTAAGCCACCTTGCGTTCCTCGCAAGAGGGAAAAAAGATGAGCTAGAATGCAGTATAATAATAGTAATAAATTTGTAACATCTTGTAAAAGATCTGGAGTTCTCAAAAGTTTGCACTTGTTGTTTTGACTTGGCCTAATAAATGTATTAAACTGTGTATGCCATCTTACCCATTGAATGTTTCTGTGCAGTATAGTTTTGTGTGGCCCTTCTGTGAATAATCTGCTTTTCAAAACTGAGGCCATTGAGAGGTAGGGAAGGGCCTTGCTTATAGTGGAGTCTAACCTCTAGTATGCCTTCTCCCTAGATGTTTGCTTACTCTTTTGTCTTTTTATCACCTATTTTCTCATGCCTTTAAAAATAGTGACTTTGTTCAGTTGCTATTGATTATTGTCATATGATTAATGGAATATTTTAAGATTTAGTCAATGTGCTTATTTAACAGTTTGACACCCCAGGAGTAGTAATTCTGATGGTGGAGATATAAACATTTAATTAAAACACTGGAGTGATGTCAGCTTGGGCTCTTCTCCTGAGATGTTAGGTTATTATTTTTGTTGATGGTCTTCCCTGCACTTTTAACATGAAAGTGCCTAATTGGCACAATGATCCTGTGTAAGTGATTCCTAAAAAATACTGTACTTTGCTTCATTTTACTGATTTATCTGCCCAGTTATGGCTTTGCTAAAAAAAAGTAACTTTTTGATTATATTCCTAACTGTAGAAATGCCAGCAAATAACATGTCACTGATATTCAGGCTGAAATTGCTTTAATTAAAAGCCGCTGAAATAAAGGATTATATTTGTTGCATCTAGAGCTCTGCTCAGGGTTTTGTTTACTTTTCTATAAGTGGTGCATATCTGGAAATATGTTAGCTGGAGTCAGAAGGCAGGATAGTGCTGGAGCATACTATGAATTGCTGTGTTCCTTATGTGAGATAGTGGCTCTGGTTTGTGAGGGAAAGTTCAACGTATGTCTTTGTTTTAAAGCCAGAGAAGCCTAAGACAGTTTTGCCCATTCTTGTACATTTCAGATATGTTTGACCATTGATAGTGCTAGTGAGGAATTGTAGACAAACAAATCTGGAGGGGTAGTACATTGGCTTAGGAGTTTCCAAATATGTTATGTGACCCTACTGAAATAGCTGAAAGAGAGGTGGGGTGAAGTCTTGCTGCAGCAATAGTGGTTTCTGGCAAGATATAAAATGATATTAGAAGAGAGAATTTTAGCAGGGACAAATAATAATGTATCTGTGGGAGCTTGTGAGAATTATATGAAAAAATGATAACAGACGTATGAGTATTCTCAGTGAAGCTTTCGTTTGGTCTTTGCAAATAAAAGATAATAACTACTGCTTTTTCATAACACCATTGAGCTGTTCATTTGTGAAATATGTTAAAAACATGCAGTTACCTTTTTCATGTCCTTCAGTACAGTTAAGTGGATGTTGTTCTGCAAGAAGAACTGCAATGAAATTAGCTGCCAGAAGATTTTTTAAAAAGCTCTTCTTAATAAATCACTTCACAAATGCAGCTGTTGTTCTTTAAGTAATGATGCTTCCACCCATCTTGGAAAAAAAGATAGCACGTACTTGCATCTTTTCTCTATCAGGAATGAAAGCAACTGGATGGTAGGTTATGACACCCCTCTCCCCACATGCTTCTCTTCAAAATTGCAGCCTCTGAAGTCACATTTCATAAAACAAAAACAGTTTCTAAAGTACTGCAATGCTACACAAAGTATAGTTCTGCCCTTACATAGATAGTATATTATTTTACATCAGTTTAGATAGATGAGAGCAGAAAGTGGCAGCCATCTGTGTAACTTCCTTTGCATCACTTGTTTTAATAATGTGGAAAGACTTCTAAAAAAACATATATTTCCTTCAGTTGCACTGTGTGCAGGTTTACATAGATAAATAGTAGGTCTTTGGACAGTTGACTAGAAGTAATAATAGAATCTGTTTGAATCATTCTTTTTTACAGATAGCCAGAATGCAATTTCACTGGTGTTGGCTCTGCTTGACTGTCTTGTTGTTAAGTTCAATAAGAGCAGAAGCTGAAGATTCAAAAGCTGACATGGAGAACTTTGACAAGAATTCAGAAGATACTAATGCTGACAAAGACAGATTACCCCTTGAGGTAAGACTTTAGTGTGTATGCTATATCTTAAAATATACAGAGGTTTGACCATGAATTCATGTAATTTGGTTTATTTTGACATTCAGAAATAATAATACACAACTTGCCTTAGTCACAGGCATCTTGATTGCAGAGAAATATATTGAAGTGTCTCATTTTTGTGCCTGGCCCTCTTCTTTGAGTATGCACGCTCTTGTGACAGCAGACCATTTGAAAATACTGTTTGACTGTAAAGTAGTTCTGTGTTCAGCCTAAAGAGGATAGTATTAATCATGCTTGTGCCCCCTCCCCTCTTTTGAGAAGCAGAACCACTTGGTGAGTTTTAGAGAACTGAAATGAAAAACTTATTCAAACTAACTTTTTCCAGGCTTCATCTTTGCTTAAAGGTACTGTTTCCGTTGTTGTTGTTGTTTTTTCAACAAAGTCCTGGTCCATAGAATTTGTAATATTCAAGATTATGAACAAAGGCCCCTGGCAAAAAAAAAAAAGCCCAATTCCCCTTTCAAAATGCCATGTTTAAAAAGTGGTTGAATTTTGACAACTAACTGTTAAAATTGCTTCCCCCCAAAATGTGGTAGGGTAAACTTTACCACTTTCTCAAGTAACTAGTGTCTTGAGATATGTGCAAAATGTACTACACCCTAAGGACCGTAATAGCAAAAAAGAAAAAATATAAAGCTTTTGCCGTAAAGGGTATGTGTGTAGAATTTACGAGCCCTTTTTCACAAGAAGTCCCTTATGATTTTACTTTCCCCTAATATCCTGCCTTTTGACAATTGTAAAGACAAAGCTAAGTAAAGAAGAAAACACCTATTTGAAACCTTTTTGTTCAGTGTGCAGGATTAGTAACTGCCACTCTTTGACAGAGGGTACCTGCCAAAACATTGTCTAGTTGACACATCCCATTTTCAGAACTATGGATGTTTGCATTCTTATGTGGCTAAATAGATTATTGAAAAGGTACAACAATGTTTGCTTGCATTGTGAGTTCAAAAAGTTTTTTTTAAAGTTTACCAACCACTGATAAGCCACTTGTGTACTTTAAAAATTCAGTCACTGGCTGACAAAATAGACTACAAAATTAGCTTTCACATTGAGGATCATGATCTCCAGAGAGGAAAAAGGTTAAAGTTCAAAAATGCTTCAGCAAGTGAAAGGTGCTCAACATCTTGATGAAGAGTCCCCAGTTTATTACAATTGCACCAAGGTGCTGCTAGGGGGTCTGGTACTGCCAGTGGCCCAGCAACAATGGGGTTTGGTTTGTTTCCAAGGGCTTTTCTTCCTGCTTCCCTTTATGTGTGATGTTGATCATCAGAGGTGGATCGGGTTGTCAGGCTTGCCTATTGTCCATGAACTAGCCACCCTTCAGGAAACTGTTCAGGTTTCTTAAACATGATGTCTTGCTGTGGTTTATAAACCATGGTGGGTTGTTGTATCATAAAAAACCAGTCACTGTCTTATGCTTGTACTATGGTATAGCTGTCAGAAACTCAACAGGGATATAAAGCAGAACACTGACTGATGAAAACTCTTGAAATGTGCATACTTTATTTGATATATGGAAATGAAAAACTCCAGAAGGGTCCTTTTTCTGAGGTAGGAAATGTAATACAGCAGCAGTTGCCAAAAACAGTTTCTGCTGGTGGGTCAGGTTTTGCATTTAGCTAGTCCTGCTTGTAACTTGACTAACTTTAAAACTAAAGGATGAGTTACCTCTTGAGTTTTGCAGATAAAGTAACTGGAAAATTCACATAAGTAGATCCTAAAGTTGTATCCAATGTTCTACTCAGAGGAGACCCCTTGAAGTGACTAGACCTTAACCTAGATTGATGCTGGATTCAAACCATAATATGAAGAAATTCACAATTATATGAAGTTGGGCAAGGTAGGTGCCAGGTTGCAAGAATGAAGATACAAAGCAATGCTTTGGATTCAGACTTAGTTATGCTTAGTGTCTACTGAAATCAGTAGAATACATTTCTTATGATTGACTTGAATCTCATGGATTTCAGTCATTCTCCCCAAAACATAACACTGGATCCAGCCTATTGCCATATGTTTAAGGTTTTCTTATTAAACTACAGTCATGTATGATGACAGTAAGTGCAAAATAATTAACTAGCCTTTAAAACTCTTAATACATCTCACTTGAAGGTGATGGTTCTGCTTCTGAATTTTTTTTCAATATTTGGTAGGTTGTGTACCAGACGCCGAAGCCAACTGGAGAAGTTTATTTTACTGAAACTTTTGATGATGCAATGTTGTCTGGGTAAGGGCATCTAATAGTAGACATTAAAGTTATGAATGTTTGCAGTTTAGATCAACAAGAACGTGGTTAATAAACCTAGATGTCTGTAATGGGTTGCTTTTAGCAAATAAGTTGTTCAGAACATTCAGTGGAAATAAGAGGAAAATAGGCTAATATCTAGTGTTGTTCCATGAAAGCACTGATAACATTTCATCCTTCAGATCGCTGCTTGTCTCTGTTACATGCACAGGCACAGGTTTATGATCGTACAGAATGGGCAACACTTGGAATAAATGCAATCCTCTAATAACCCATGAAAGAAAAAAGAAAAAATGACTATGGAATGCTAAAAGGAAGAAATGTTATTCATTATCAAGCTAAATGTGTTCATTCTAGCCCTTCATAGCTTAAATATAAGAAAAACACAGCATAATATAACACTGATAATTCTGAAAGGGACTAAAAAGGAGATGCCATTTATTTGGCTCCCTAACCCATTGTGTTCCATGGCACACATCTGCAGTGTCATCATTGCTAATGGTAATGCACCTTTAGATATTTTCTTTAAACTGAACAGTGTGGAGGATACACAGATTTTTTTTTTCTTTTGAGGGGGTTACCATTCTTGTTTTGAGAAAAAATTGTGTTAAATGCAAATACAGTCTTTTTTTATCAAATGGAAAATTTACTGTATATTTTTGCCTCAGAATTTAAGGAGGGTAGGCTGAGGCACCACTAGAGTGTGGCTCTTCCTTTGTGTGTCCCCCAGAATGCCCAGAAAGCACCTTGCATACTTGGAGCTGCTCCGGTAGGGTTCCTTCTGCACTGCTAGGCAAAGGGAGGATGTGCCAACCTTGGCGCATGTTTGCAAGGTTGGAAATGGGACTCGGAATTCTCTTGTGGCCATCTAGACTCTGTTTAACAGCAACAACATTGCACTCTAAAATAATTAAACAAATCGGTTCTGTTTCACAGAAACCGTCATGATCTAAATTTCTTGTTTTTCTAAATAGGTGGGTTCTGTCTCAGACCAAAAAAGAAGATACAGATGAAGATATTGCTAAATATGATGGTAAGGCTTATGTAAATTTTGTTGGAATATCTCATTGCTGCTTTCAGAGCTTTCTTGTGAATTACCTTCCTTATGGTTAGTAAAAATATTCTCCTTTCATAGTTGTACCTGTGAAGTTACATTATTTAGCAATGATAAAAAAAATTCTTTGACATCTGATCTTGGACTACTGAACAAGTCAGATGCTGATCGCTATATTCAATTCATGTTAGTTGCTTGTTGTTGTTATGTGCCATCAAGGCATCTTTGACCTATAGCAACCCTATGAATGAAAGCTCTCCAAAATGTCCTGTCCGTGTCAGAATGAAAATAAAACTAACAAGAAAGATAAATAAGTATTTTTTCTAAACAGTGTTTTAAAAGCCTACCCATATTTCCAGCCATCTGGGAAATTGAATCAAGCATCACCATCCTTATGTCCTCTGGCTATTGACTTTAGTAACCCACTCTGGGAGTCTTTTGCAGAAGAGCAGATAGGAATGAATAAATTGATTGGGGGATAAAACTATCTGATAGTTGTTTGGAGATAACAATTGTTTCCCCTGCTTGCATTCACCCCCTCCCCCCCATTGTGAATGTGAGTGGTGTGAACAAGACTGGTCTAGTGGCATGTCAGTAAGGTGCCTGACATGGCTGAGTCACTTTCTCTGTGCACTATGGATCTCCGTAACTCTCTTGGGGTGGGGTGAATGATGTCATCTGGGAGGCATACTTGTGGAAGAGCCTGATTCCCTTGAGGTCATCAGGCCTTGTAGCTCAGTCTAAGAGGAACAATACAGCCTTGAGATCAAATTGGGTTGCCTGCTTCTGGAATATAGATTGTGTGGATTCAGTGAGTATAAAGGGAACAATCAAACCAAGCAGCTCAGGCTTGTTGTGACCCACAACCCCTCCCACTTAGAATTTGCATAATTAGCTCCCAAACCTGGGTCATACATATTGTTGGAGAGTTAAACAACCTTCAAATAACCCATGGTTTGTTGTATGGTTATTTAACCTTCAGTAATCCATGCTCTGTGGATTCAAGGGAACTCGGTTATGCACATCATGGTCCACTTACAAACCACAGAGACTTTTTAATTTATTAATTAAAATTATATCCTGCCTTTTTTCTAACAAAGAATTCAAAGTGGCTTACATAATTCTCTTCTTCCTGCTTTCAATCTTATCCCCACAAAAACAGCCCTGAGAGTTCCAAAGTCATCCAGTTGGCTCTATGGCTGAGTAGGGACTAGAACCCACATTTCCCATTTCCTCGACATCCCATTTCCATGCTCTTACCCCCTACACCATGCTTGCTTGTTTAAACCATGGAGACTTGTTCCAATAGTGTAAACCAATTCATTGTGGCAGACCACAAGTCCATTAGCTCAGTATTTTTGTGCTGACTTGCAGAATTTCAGTCAGTATTCATTCCCATCCCTTACTAGCTACACCGGAGAGCAAACCTGGAATCGTTTATATGCAAAGCATGTAATTTTACTGAAGGGTGATCCTTCTCCCAAATGTCAAGGGGCAGCTAATTTTATGAGTAACTTCAGGCAAAGTTTTTAGTTGGCAATTCAGGCTCCAAAGTTCATATGGTAAGAATGATTTACACAAACAGGTAGAAATTACTTTTATTTGAATCATAGTTGTGTTCTTTTCTCACATCTATCTTTCTTTATTAACTCTTTTAGGAAGATGGGAAATAGAACCACTAAAGGAAAATTCAGTGCCTGGTGACAGAGGATTGGTATTGAAATCAGTAGCAAAGCATCATGCAATTTCAGCTATGTTAACACAGCCATTTATTTTTGATAGTAAGCCACTAATTATTCAGTAAGTATGTCTTCACACATGAAATGTTTTTCACAATAATGCTTATTTCATGAAAAAAATATTGCAGGAATATTCTGTATGTTTTAAACTTTCAAAATTATTGTTTAGGTCAGTTATAGGAACAAAGGAGGAGACCACTAAAAATGCAATATTGAGTTGCACACAATAGTAACTGGACACTAGTAGTAGCTAAGAGAATATCGAATTAGCACTTGTCTCCAGAAGAGTTTTCTTGTGTTTCTGTTGTGCAGGTATGAAGTGAATTTTCAAGATGGCATTGATTGTGGTGGTGCATATGTTAAACTTCTTTCCAAAAGTGATGACTTGAACCTGGTATGTAGTAATTGGGAGATGGGTATGAGTAGACATGTTTCAGTGTTGGCAAGGAGAGTTCCCAAATCCTTCTGTACTTGCACCAGCAGTTGTTGCTTGGCTGTGACTCAGAACTTAAAAGGAAACTAGTGAAGTATGCACCTGCTCCCAGATAAGGGAATAGAGATGCATGCTGGTGCTTACTCCCTAAGGTACAACTACAGGCTCATTAACACTAGCTGCATTTCAGTCTTTGTATGTAACACGCTTAATGCTCTATAGTAAACCCATATATACGTGTTCTCAGTGGATTATCCTGATACACTAATGGGATGGTCCCTTTCATTCATTTCTTTAATTGGACCATTTACTATTTATAGGTATTTTTCTACTGCTCTTCAAGTCATATTGCAGTAGTTTATGTGAAAGAACAGAACAATTGAAAAATAAATGCACCCCTCCAAAATGCTACAAAATTGCAAAAACAGTGTAAATTAGCAGAATTAAAATAGCATGGGAAGATATAAAGGTCTTTTCATGGAACTTAAAAGGGTGCAGTTTATCCAGTAAGCTTCATAGTTGAGAGGGAATTTGAACCTGAGATTCTGATACTAACCAACACTACTTCTCTCAGTTATCTTAATCCAAAAGTAGAGCTGTAATTTGTCAGAGTGTGGGTATAAATTTATGTTTTAAAAATAAAAGAAATTAGTTTTTAAAAATGTAATCAGATTTTAAAAAATAAAATACATTGCAAATCAAATACTACATCTCTCTCTAACTTAAAACATAAAGTAGTTGCAATTACATCTCATTATAAAAAACATGAAATTACCTACCAGTCAAGCATGGGATTTTTTTCAGTTTCTAATCTCATTAAAATGGCTCTGTCCAGCCTAACCAAAAGCTCTTTCTTCTTGGAAGTTTTGGGATTTCATTTTTTCTGACTAAAATAACATGTCGAGGCACAGACTGGATAGGAGTCTTGTTCTGTGCATATGTAGTGGTGGAATTGGACTGAGCAAAGACAGAGGAGTGAAGACAGACAATATAGCAGTCTGAATCAGATCAATGCTTTAAACAATCCCAAATACAAATGTCTTTTTTCAGTCGGGAAAAATGTCCTATAGGCTGAAATGTAAAAGTGTGGATGGTGAAAAATGCATACAGTTTCAGAATTGCACACTTTTGAACATAAACATGAAGCTCAAAAAAACGTAAAGATTTCCCAAGAATTGCATTCCTGTTTGTATTTGGAGTTGCAAACTGGGCATGCCTGCATGATTTTCAGACAAGGACAATTTTTTGCACATCCCTAAATTCTATACTCGTTTACCAGAACATATTTATAAGGAAACATATATAGAATTTTGCAGTTAATTTCAAACTGTCATAGGTGCAGGCTATAAGAAAGTCTCTTGACTTTTTCTTACTCATTTAAAAATGATTTGAACCAACCCTTGCTTAAAACAATCCATCCTAGTTTTTGGTTAGTGTTTCAGAATACTGAAAAACCTTTAAAAAAAAGCCATTAATATATTCATCAGTCAATTCACTTAGCTTATGATGATCTTATTTTTTTTAAATAATCAAGTTTGTTTGTCCAGTTGTTTTCCTAATTGAAGAAGAAAAAATTGGACTGGCTTTTCAAGAGAAATAGCTTTGCTGCTATATTAATCTGACTGCTTTGATGGATAGTTTTAAAGATGTAGGCTCGGTTCCAGTCATTCCCTTATGCTTGCTACCAAGTTCACACAAATGTCTGCAAGGACATGTCTTTGCTTGCAAAAAGACTGCTCATGGAGAGAAGAATTGGCAGAAGGAAATTCCCATGTAATGGGGTAATGGACAAAAGATCAACTGGATTGTGCCTCGGGTATTTATCAGCATCTCCATGTTGTACCTAATCTTAATATACGAGGTTATATTGCTGTTATCTGAATAAAATTAAGATATTTTTATGACTGTACTTTACTCTTTTTAACAAAAGCTGCAATATTCACTATCTTTGGAGAGTCCAGTGAAAATTGAAGCATGTTTAGGTCAAGTCGTTAGATAATTTATTTGCTCCCAATAACATTCTACTATTGTAATATTTTAGTAAAGTTTAGTTTTTAAGGCAACTTTTTCTCCAGAGTTTTTTCATTCATGTATATGATAATTAGTTGGCAGTCTTTCTGAACATTCAGTTCTAGAAAATAAGGTTTAAGGTCTAAAAATGAATTCCTGATATAGATATCAAAAACAGGACATGTAATAATGGGAACAGTTCCACACCAGTGTACATAATTAAGACAATTGTGTATATTATACACAAACAGAGCCTCAAGAACATACTTTTTTAAAAGTAAAAAGCAACTTTGAGAGAAAGTAATTCAGAGTGGAAAAATGGCAGAGGAAGAATGCTAAAAAAGTTTCCTGCTCAAAAATTCACCCCATGGCTTCCATTTATTTTCCTTCCAAAGTTTTCAAAGAAGATAAACTGCTTCTTACATTCAAATAACATTGGAACTCTGTGTGTAACATATACATGCCTTTTAAACAGCTATTTTCTTCTACTTTCTCAAATTGTAATTTATTGAAGTAGATGAAACTGCAGAAGGACCATTACTGGTGAGGGTGTCTTCATGATGGAAACGTTAAAATCACTTAAGTAAACTGAAAGTGCAATCATATGTAAATTTAAGCTGAAAAAAAGGCCACAATTGCCCTTTGGGTGTCTTCATGGTAGACCTTTTTCTGACCAAATTTGCATAGAATTTCATTCTTCAGAAGTTAAGCTACATCCTTTTCAGATGTCATCCTGTTCTGTACTTGACGAAACTTTAGTCACATCATACCTATAGTTTTGAGAAGGAACTAGGACACAGCTCATAAGTGCTAACAGCAGTAACTCTGTTGTATGTTATCATTTGTCATAAAGTAGGGAGATAATCAGGCTGCAACCAGTGCCAAAATAAGGGGATGTAAAATTATCTTTGCTGTGTATAGGTTAAATGTTGTGCTCGTTTTCATCCTACAGGAATACTTCCATGACAAAACTTCATACACAATAATGTTTGGACCAGATAAATGTGGAGAAGATTACAAGCTACATTTTATCTTCAGGCATAAGCATCCTAAAACTGGAGACTATGAGGAAAAACATGCCAAGCGCCCTGATGTAGATCTAAAAAAAGTCTACTCAGACAGAAAGACCCATCTCTATACTCTTGGTACTCTTAAATTTTTAAGTTTAGGCAAATAACATAAAGCACTATTACAACCATAATTTTTAGATACTTTGGAGTGGACAAGTGGATTTTTGTCACTTCTAAGAATATTAATGTTCCACCTGATATTCCCATTTCTTTGAAGAATATTTTAATCTGAAACAGGACACTGGATTTCAGGAAGAAACATAAAGCCAAACATACAGAATCTCACTGCTCCATCAATACAACTTTATCATGATATGCTTTACAATAGAGTAGAACCACAGGTCTGTGTAGCTTCCTTGGATTCCTTTAGGGAGCAGGGCTTCAATGTTCTCTCCAGTTTCACTTTTTGTGAAGCCAGGGATTTAACTAGCACTAGGATGCTGCCCACTGATGTCACCTTGTCTTGTGAAGATCAAGCCATTACCCCCCCCCCCCCACACACACACACACACACACTCTGTAGGGGAGTATCCAGGAAAGTAGTGACAAGCACATTTGTATGAAGTTCCAGGGAAAAAAAATCTTTGCATTAGTTTCACTGGAGAAATTGAAGGATCTTTGCTCTTGAACCTCTACAGTAACCTTTTCTGTTTGTTTAATGGTGAGCACTTGGATTTGTGTGACATGGCAAGTCATGATGGGTTGTGTCATGTAAAGTCAGACCATTCCCCAAAGTGTGGCTTTTTTGTGGGTAACAAGCATCCTGACAACCCATGGCTTGTTCCAGGGGTTGTACCCACAGTGGATCACTGTATCATCTGCAACTGAGAAACCAATCCCATCATGGTTACAGGGAAGCAAGAAGTGAGTTGCTCAGCACAAGCTGCAGAAAAACCCTTCTCCATCTTGGTGAGCTTTCTTGGGCCACCACCAGTTAGCCAAACAGCATGTTCAAGTGACTGCCACTGGCTTGACCTCCCCTGTGCTGACCATAACCCCTTTTGCAGTTACTGCAGCTTTTTTTTCCATTTTCCATTTGTGTTTCTCCATGGAGATTGCCCAAACAGCACTTTGGAATAGGTTCACTGTCCTTTTTTCAAAAAACATGCCTGAGATTTGCACAGTTGTTTTTCATATTTTAATTTTCTTCTTTTGGTTGTATCTCAGATTTGAACAAGCATATATGCGTCTTGCCTCATCAGTGCTCTAGATATCTTTTGTCAAACTACAGGAAGCACCATCAATTGACAAAACAGGTCTCTAAATAGATTAAGTTGATTCGCTTCTCATTTGACAGTTGTCAGATAGCAAGTTGCCAAATGAGAAGCAAAGCTGTAAGGGGATCCTTGCAGGTAAAAGTACAGTATAGATTACCCCTTTCCAGTGAAGTCCTCTATGTTTTCTGAGTGGTCCTGATTCCTCCACCTTTTGTTAAGATTCTAGGTGGTCAGCAAAGGAGGAAAAAAAGTGAGAGTCACCCCATTTATGGGAGTCCAGAGTTTTTGGCAGGTTTCCTTCTAAACTATGGCTTTCAACAGCGCTAATCAGGAGCGTTTTCTTTTTTGACAGAGGCATATGCAAGCATGAAATCTGCATTAAGGGTTGACAGCTATCAAAAGAAAATGCTTGTAAAAAGTGGTTGGGATATAGATCTCTACTTTCTAGAGTACCTAGAGCTCAGGGAAGTGTGGAAAAGGGCAAATGCACCAAAAACTGTTAGGACAATACTTAAAAGCTAGAGGATCACACTGCTGAGGAAAAAATGTACTCACCACTCCCTGGGGCAAAACCACTCTGCTTTTTAGTTGGCAGTTTGCCATCTGAAAGCTTATGTGCATGCAATGCAACCTATATATAATCTTGATTATCAGTGCCTGTGGATGTTACCTGCTGCACTTTAATAGCAGACACTCACTGGGACATTGGTCAGGTGGGACTCCATATTTTAGTGAGGTATAAGCGCATCTGCTCATCTCTGAAAGACCAGAAAAATAATTAAAATCCACTCTCAAGTGCACACATTTGCTTTCCACCATAAGTGCTGTTTGGGGATTGGCTATCATCAAGGAGGGGGAATATAATTGAAATTGGGGTTGCAATTGGAACAGGGTTGGGGAGATTAGACTGGTTCTGTTGTGCAGGATCCTGGAGTAGCAGCTGGAGAAACGGGGTTGGGAAGAGAGAACAAACCACAGTCAGCCTGATTGTCTGCCAGGTACACTGTGGATTGTTGCCTGAACAATCTACACTAAGTAACTTATTCTCAGGGTGACTTGAGAACTTTCCCAGTAGATTTCAGCATTCACTTTAAATGAGGTGACAGTACTGTTCAGAGTGACTGAAATTTCTTTGATAATGGATTGAAGCTGTCTAATATTCTAGCATGACTGTAAATCATATGCTTTGCTTTTCATAGCTAGACTATCATGCAATGTTTCATACAGAAACACAATATCTATGGCAAGATTTAACAAAAAATGGAAAAGTATTTGAGGATCATGCCTGATAAGAAAGTACAAGAGGTTTTGTGTGCAGTTCCTAGACAGACTTGCCATTCAAAACATATTTCCTAGAGAGTGAGACACAATGAACATAGTGAAATATAACTTCTGAATAAATATGTATATGATTTTACTGCTTAGGTGTTAGAAGCTGTAGTTCTGATGCATAAAAGGACTTTAAAAATTGCATTGGTTTGGAAGCAGCATTTGTCAAAACCCAGTGACCACATAATGACCAGAAATTACCTTTTAAAAAGGTAATTTTCAATCAACTTATATTTGGCTGTATTCACAGCTCTTTCAGACTTAGTCCACCGACCAGAACAAAGTCATTTGCAAATACATTGCACTGGAATTAATCTTTTTTCCAAATAGATGCTTAGGTTATAACTTCTATAAAAAGTTCCATTGTCTGGAAATGGTGTTAAAATGTCAGCTGAATTGTATGGCACAAATTCTTACCAGCAAAACAGATTTAAACCACACGTAAAAACAGTTCTTAGTGGGTAATTGTGTAACTGCTAACCCACCCACGCACCCCCAACTTCTAAGATTACATAATTTCCTCTTTCATAAGAGATTAATTTTCTGTTTTTTAGTTCTAAAACCTGATGACACATTTGAAGTGTTCATTGACCAAACAGTTGTCAGCAAGGGAAGTCTCCTGGAAGACATGGTTCCACCTGTGAATCCTCCAAAAGAAATAGAAGATCCCAATGATAAAAAGCCTGAGGACTGGGATGAGAGACCTAAAATTCCTGATCCTGATGCTGTTAAGCCAGATGACTGGTAAAGAAAACATATGCTGTTTCTGCTCCGTGTTATGTATTCCTTCCCTCTACCAATTATGATATAGTCAGTAGACTTTCTTTGGTTTGTATTTTGACTGTAAGAAATTGACCACAGAAGAATGCTTCAGGCTATGAAGACTTGTAGCTGTATAGCACTGTTCTTTTGATTTACAAGTCATTCATATAATAAGGTATGCTTAAAAATACTTTAGTGATTCAAATATGCAGTAGTATGTAATCTTACATATAACTATATTTTTGAGATTTTAAAAACTATAAAAGACTTTGAGTGCAATCTTACTCATGTTTAGACAGAAAAAGTCATACAGCTACCTACATTCCCATCTAGCCATGCTGTAAAACCTCTTTCTCTGCAGATATATAGGATTGCACCATTAACATCTATTGGGGAAAAAAAACCCTTTTCTTCATGGTTGAGAAGCATTGTATAGAGTTTCATCTGTCCTGTTGCTATATTGTCCATCTTCTGGTACAATATGTCTCTAACTTAAAGGAATGAAGATGAGCCTGCCAAAATTGAAGATCCTGATGCTGTTAAGCCTGAAGGTTGGCTTGATGATGAGCCAGAATATGTTCCAGATCCTAATGCAGAAAAACCAGAAGATTGGTAAGACTGTTTTGTGGAAACCATGGACTAATTTCTGTAACAGATTGGTCTTAGGGGTCCAGATAAAGGAAGCCACATCTTTGAATTTACAAGAGCTGATTAGGGCTATCACAGCTAGGACATTTTGGAACGCTTTCATCCATAGGGTTGCCATAAGTGAGAGATGACTTGAAGGTACATAACAATAAATTGGTTGGCTTGTTATGTTCCTTCATTTATTTATTGGGTAGTTTTAACTGTTTCATATATCTGTACTGCTTCTAAATATATAAACTGTCTTGAACACTAACTTTTTTAACTGGGAAGATAGGATAGACATTTTAAAATAAATATTTTTCATCCCATTGTATTTCTATACTGCCCAATATCTGAAGGTCTCTAGGCACTTTACAGTAGATCCTAGAAACAGGACATAGTACAATAAAAACAACTACAAAATATTTCACAGTACAACAGTTTAAACATTTACAAACAATTTAGTGGCAGGCCAAGTAGAAGTGTTAAACACTTGTCATGGGCCCCCATCAAGCCATTAAATAAACTATAGATGTCTTTAAATGCCTAAATACAGACCACTATCTTAACCTGGTGCTGGAAGGATAACAAAGTTAGCCCCAGGTAGGCCTTAGCAGAGACGTCATTTCACAGTTGGGGTCTGCCAGTAAAAAGGCCCTCCCTGTATTACCACCTGCCAGCCTCTCAGAAGTGGCATGCAAAAGAGCCTTCAGATGGTGATTGTAGTGTCTGGATAGATTTTGGCTGAGAGAGGCATTCTGTCAAGTGTTGTAATAAAAGTTGTCCCTTGAATCAGCCTCAGAAGCGTATAGTCAGCCAAGCAAGTGAACCAGAATTGTTGTTATGTGTTCAGACCTTCTGGTCCTTGCCATTAGCAGTTTGTACTACCTGCACTTTCTGAACTTCCCCATGTAGAATGCATTGGAATAATAAATACCTTAACAAGAAAATTTATCACGTTATAGTAGTCACCAGCCAATAACAGTTGGACTACTTTACTAGAGCTTTTGCTAATTGGGGGCTCATGGTCTAGATCTCAAACGTATTCCAGCATCATTTGGTGTCACTCTTCAAAGACCATACATAATTAGAGAGACTAATAAATGTCCTCTGGATTTTACTGAAGTAAATGTTAGGAATGCATATGCTTTTCCATTACTTGCTACAGTTTATAATGTTGTTAAATGCCACACAGAATGACAGTGCAAAGTAGTGTGTTAAGAGCTGAAGGTCTTGGCAGTTAAGAAATTGGCATGGGTTATGGTCAGTGTACAAACTTTATTTTTGGAACCAATATCTGGAGCTAGTTAAACGTAGGAAGAGGATTAATTTGCTATTGCATAGCCACATCTTTCAGGTTGAGCTGAAATATAGGACATAGTTTGTTTTTGTTGTTTTTAAGTTAGTGGAAATCATTTAAATATTTGAATTGATTTATTATCATTTTAACAGGGATGAAGAAATGGATGGTGAATGGGAAGCTCCACAGGTTCCTAATCCAAAGTGTGAGACTGCACCTGGTTGTGGAGCATGGGCACGCCCCATGATAAACAATCCAAATTATAAAGGGAAATGGAAGCCACCTATGATAGAGAACCCTAATTATCAGGTAATAGCAGCAGCTTATATTTTTTTGGAGACATTACTTGGACTGCTTTAACAGATTGATTAACTAGTACAGAAATCAAACTTTATTCTTCTTCCCTGTCCCCTATCCACTTGCAAGGAACCTAGGCTAGCTTATATAGCTCATTTTATCCTCACAACAGCCCTATGAGGTAGGTTAGGCTAAGAGCAAGTGACTAGTCCAAAGTCACTCAGTGAGCTTCATGTCCAAGTGCTGACTAGAACCCCAATCACCTAGGTACCCAGGGTGTCCAAAATACATCACAAAGGGAGTGAAGGGCTCCCAAGACCTTGAGCACCAGATTCCCGCTGAGTTGGCACCAGAAATTATAACACTTGAAATCTGAAGTCTTAACCCAGGGAAGTCAGGAAGGCTATGTCATGTTACATCATGTGCATTTATAAAATGTTTCATTGTTTGTTGTTATTTTTGCTAGGCGCACACACACAGAGACCATATATAATCAATTCATTAATAGGGGTTAATTTTGTGACAAGTTGAATTTTTAGGGATTTTGGAAGGCCTGTAATTTGCCTTTGGGGTACAATCTTACGGCCTCTCAACATTATCTGGGAGTCCAACATTTGATTAGAGTCACAGTTCTCAGATATAGTGATCTCAGAACTAGGACTCTGAAGGATGAGCCCCTGCTTCCTTGCAGCCCCCACATCCAAGATCACAGCTAGAACTTGGAGGGTGAAAAGGGGGAGATGGCTGGGACCACAGAGTTAGGCCAGTTCCATTTGGCACCCAACCCCTTTTTCTTTTCCCTGGCACTTGAATTTCATGACCAAAACCAGCAGTCCAAAAGAAAATGCAATGTGTAAGGTACGGCAGGGGCAGCAGAGAGGGTCACCACCATGAATCACTCCTGTTAGTGGATGCTAGAAGCTTACAAGCATCTACTGCAGGGTCAGTAGGATTGTGCCCTTATTAAATTTTCTTCAAGCACTGACTCAACATGTCATACTAGTGTATTTAATACATTGATCTTTCATGTGGTATTTTTCTTTTTTCTCATTATAGGGAATATGGAGTCCTCAGAAAATCCCAAATCCTGATTATTTTGAAGATTCTCATCCTTTTCAGATGACTGTTGTTGGTGCTATTGGCTTGGAGCTTTGGTCTATGACCTCAGATATATACTTTGATAACTTCATCATCTGTTCTGATAAAGAGGTTGCTGACCGATGGGCAGCAGATGGCTGGGGCTTCAAAAAGTTGATTGCAAGTGCTAATGAAGTAAGAATTTGCTATCTTTTGTTGTACCCAAAATGTATTTTGTTGCAAGATATTGTATGTTTTCAGACTTACATTTTCAAAACCTCAGTCATAGTTAACATAGTTAATTACTGCTGTTACGATTTACATTGCCTTGCGGGAGTATGCATACCTCTTTGAATATTCGTCATTTTCTTGCATTACAACCTGGAATTGAAATGTATTCAGTTGGCACTGTTACCACCTGATGCACGCAAGATACTCAACAATGTGAAGCTGTAAAATACTGTTACTGTGGCATAAAAGTTAGGCAAACTAAAGCAGTTGGGTAGTTTTAGATTGCAGAAGTGCTCAGCCCCTTTCCTGTGACATGTCTAAATAAACTTGGATGAATCCTGCTGCCTCCAGAAAACACTGTAAATAATTGAGTGGAGTGCACCCGTGTGCAATTCCAGCACCTTGTGATCTCAGATTAAATACACCTGTTCTGGACACCAGGATTTGTCAAAGAGACCCACACAGTTTCATGAAGATAAAGGACCTGTAAAAATAACTTGGGGATAAAGTTGTGCAAAAGTACAAATTGGGGTTGGATTATTTTAAAAAAATCCCAAACTCTGAACATCAGTGGAGCATGGTTAATTATTACAAAATGGAAGATTTTAGCTAAACCATGATGCTGCCTAGAGAAGGCTCTCTGTCAATGACTGAGAAAGGAAGGTGTTAGAGAAACAACCAAGAAGCCAGTGGTTAGTGCAAAGCAGCTGCAGAGATCCATAGCTGAGATGGGAGAAACTGTCCATGGGGCAACCATTACCTTGGGGATGTCACAAAGCTCATCTTAATGGAAGAGTGTTAAGAACATCATTGTGGAAACAATGCCATATCAAAGTCCATTTGGAGTTTCCAAAAGGCATGTGAGAGACACAGCAAACATGTGGGAAAAGATTCTTTGGACTGCTGATGTAAAAATTGAATTTTCTGGCCTTGCTACAAAATGCTACATGTGGCACAAAGCCAGCAGAGCTCATTGTTATGAGAATACCATCCTCGCAGTGAAGCATCCTCACAGTGAAGTATGGCAGTATCATGTTGTGGGGATGCTTTGCCTTGCAGGAACTGGAAAACTGGTCAGGTTGAGGGCTAGATGGATATGAGCAGATACATAGTAATGTCAGGGGAAGATATGTTTCAGTCCACCAAGGGACTTGGGAGTGCGGTAAAGGACCTGGCTGTCATAGATTGGCCTGGTCAAAGCCCAGACTCCAATCCATTGAGAACCTGTGGCAGGATTTGAAAACTGCTGTTTGCCGACAGTCCCCATTCAACCTGACAGTGCTGGAGCAGCGTTGCCAGAAAGATTGGGTAAACATTGCAGGATACTGATGCTCAGATCTCATAGAGACTTCCAAGAAGTCTTGCTGCTTCATTGCTGCCAAAGATGCTTCCAGCATGCTTTGACCTGGGGGAGGGGGGAGGGTGTTGAATACTTATACAGCTAACAAGTGCCAGTTTAATTTTGATTACTTTTGTGTCACAACTTTGTGTGCACTTCCAGAATGTGGAATATCTTGTGTACATCAAGTGTGCCAACTAGATCCACTTTAGTTCCAGACTGGAACAAAACAAAATGTGAAGAAATCAAACAGGGAAGGGTGGGGGGAATATTTCTGCAAGGCAATATAGCACTTCGTAATTCTAAATATGTTGTGCCCATCTGATAAAAAAAACTGCTGGTTTAATTGAATCGTATTGAAAGCCATTACGTGAGAGATATGAAGCCTTAGACTGAAATTTCTAAGAAACAGAAGAACTGAGGATAACAAATCTAGAACTCTGGTCACATATCATATTTACATTTTTGTACCTTATGTTTCATTTTCATTGTTAGCTCTCTTTGGAGTCACAGAATAGTAAGCAATTTGTCCATGTTCTGGGTTACATCCTGTCTTCCTTTAAGGATTGGCTATGCCCTCTGTGAGCATCAGTTTTCATTTTGTGGCAGACTTGCTATAAATATGTATTAAGAATTTTCTTTTGGGGAAAAAAACATTGTACAAACATGACCTGCATTTAGACATTGTAAAGATAAAAGTATAGTGTAGGCATAGCTATTTGGAGGTGGAAGTGTTATATTTTATGACAACTGTATCACAATCCGTTTGGCCACTTGCAATGTCTGACTGACCCCTGCAGTTACCTTGAACTATTTATATTCCTTATTCTTGCAATTTTTACTGCTATAGGGCAAATTTGGGGGTGTAATGATAGTAAGCAATTTTTTTAACTTTTGAAGGTTGAAAATGTACAAATTGTGACACTCTAAGATTCATAAAACATTTGCAGCAGGGTTTCTAGCACTAGAAAGGCAGAGCTTCAGTTGCCTGAACAGTTTCTGCATTTCTTTCCCTTCCCTGCTGCTTTCTTACACATGCCTTTCCTTTCCATGCTATTGTCTTCAATCTTCATTTCTATGACCTATTTAAACATTTTTTATGGCAGGTAAGGTATTCTTGATACAAGGGATGCTTTTAAATTAAGAAATACTTCAAATTACAGTGCACTCTGTTTCAGAATATTAGTTCTTAATTTTGTATGCAGGATCCTTCAAATTATTGCTCTTGCAATAATCTTAAATGTCTGGTTACTATTTATTTCTTTTCTTGGTCTCTGTGAACGATTGGCAGAGACTTCTGGAAAGCCTAGATGTGAAGAAACGGTCCTTGTCCTCTTCTTGCCCATATGCCCCATGTATCTAATCAACTAACCTTTTAGTGGTCTTGGGCACATTCCTATGACATTTTCTGAACTTGGAGGTTCATGGCCATCCAGTGCAGAAAGGTGGTTCTAGCAGAGATGATCACTGTCACCCCATCCTCTTAACCGCTTTGGTAGATAGGCTATTTTCCCCATCTACCTGGAATATTTGGGAGTGGGAAGGCATGAGGCTGAAGAAGCATCAGGATAGGTAATATCCTAGCCCTACCAGTTTTCTACTCTGCACACCTATTGAAACACTCCCTTTTCCCCTTTTCCAAGGTCAAGTTTTCCACCTTGAAAAGTAATCAGTATTGTTATTTCTGCAGCAACTACAAGGGAGATGGGGATGGTACTCCAGTTCCCAACTCTGAGTTCACTGTCTCAGACCTTGAATCTGGTAATCTAAAATATCTTATAGCCTTTAAACATTGTCTAGGGGCTGTTATAGGAGTGCTGCTTTAGTGAGGTATAAAATCTATGTGGTATGTAGCTGTTCACTCATTTCTGCCATAGTGACACTTCTGCTCAACACTGTTAGTATTTATTGTGTGTATTTCTTATACTAGTATTGAAGAAAAATACTTCATAGCATAGGTAAGCTCTGTAAACATGTGTTTTCTTTTCTTTTTTCATCCATTTAGCCTGGCATATTTAGTCAGATGGTGACTGCAGCAGCAGAACGCCCATGGCTTTGGATTATTTACATCTTGACTTTAGCAGTTCCTGTAGGATTGGGTATATTATTCTGTTGGCCATCCAAGGTACATGAACCACCTTCTTGAAACCCCAATTGCTTTTTATATAATTTGTTATGCATATGCTCTCTGCCCAAAAGTCTTCAATGTAAAAATCTACTGGAATGGGAGAGGGGAAGAACTTAACAGGCATGCCTCACTATCATTATTTTATTTTATGTTATTTATCACAGTTGTCCTTCTCTTTTAGCAAATAGATGAGGATATGGAATACAAAAAAACTGACATAGTCCAGCCACTTACAAAAGGAGAACTAGAACAAGAGATGCAAGGAAAGGATGAAGAACTTAAAAAACCAAATGAAAACACTGGTGAAGGCGGTAAGAGCTTTTGAATATACTTGTTAAAATCTGATATATCCAGAAAAAACTCAACAAAATAATAGCTATTTAGATCCAATTGTAGCACAGTTCCAACTTGAAAGCCTACATTAAATAGGCTATATTTACAACACATATTTAAATACAGCTGCAGCATGATCGGATACTGTAGAATGGATGCTACAATCTGTACAAGACTTTTTTGCAAAATAGAATAGAATAACAAAATTACTACTACTACTACTACTACATTGCATTTATATCTTACTTTTTTACCTCTTATGAGGAACCCAAAGTGGCTTACATAGCTCCATTTTATCCTCACAACAGCAACCCTGTGAGGTGACTTAGGCTGAGAGAAAGAGACTGGCCCAAAGTCAACCAGTGAGCTTCATGGCTAAGTGGGGACTAAAACCTTGATCTTCTGGGTTCCTAGTCCAACTGCCACACTGACTCTCTTCTAGGACTCACATATGTACTCAGGTGAAACATTTAAAGGCACTTAAAGTAGAAAAGGACAATTTCTTAATGTGTAAACTTGAGTTTTCTTGCACTGGGCTAAGCAAGATTTTTTTAAAGTTTGAATGTTGATACTGGAAACATATTTTAAGAACAGCATATTTTTGTTTTAGCCAGATTACAGTTGTATTTGGCACCCATATAGTTGCTAAAGCCTAGGCTTCTTTTGCCTTTTCATTCTTGCATACATTCTAGACTTTGGGGTAGGGATTTTCTATTCATTTATATCTCAATAGTAACAACTTTTTTCCATGTGCTCTTGTCTGTGACAAGAAAAAGTGAACTTACTTTGTAGGATTTGGAATTGTGGGAGATGATGTTGCAGTTTTTTGAACTTATAACTCAAATAGTGTTTTTGGTTTTTTTTTGTCATCTGTAAGGCTCTAGTTCTAATCTACTTTGGTGTCGCTGTCTTTGGCTAGCTTTGGAATTACTGTCATAATAGCAATTTGTCATACCAATATTAAACCAAATTAGCTGTAAAACTTTACATTGAACTTAACTTTTTTAATTTTGTGTGGAGGAAAAAGAAATAAAACCTGCTGATCTTCTATACTCTTTCCATTTGTCATATCTTAAATGGAAGGATGCAAAACCATGGATGTACTTAATTCTTGATAGATAAAGTTCTACTTTGCCTACATGCCTTTATTGACATTACCCTTTGTTTCTAATGGTGTGGGACATAGGCCTACTGTCTTCCTTGTCTTCATCTACCCCATGGAGAGGAGTTAACTGAGCAAAAGAACAGAAAGAGGTCAGCTAGTAGTAGGAAAGAAGAGAAACTGTGATCAGACCTTAGATGTGGGTTTCTTATGCAGAGTTACTGTTATATGCAATAATTTCAGTCATTCGTGGTTGGATGTTTCCCTGAGGGTCCTGTAATGCATTATATACCTCCTCGAGGAGGGATTTAAGCTGAACATTAATGTCCTTGTTTTACTTTCTTATTCCCTTTCTGCAGTCCCACAAATAAAATTGTGGCCGCATAGAGCAGGTGTGGGAATTGGTTGGTATCTGCTGAGACATATTCTTCCATTTGCCCATTCTTTCTCTCTTCTTATGATTGTATCCTCTCTGTAAACTTCATGTAGCTACTATGAAACTGATTCAAATAATTCAAACTGTGGAGATGAGCCAAAGATAAAAGATACATTTCTGATAAATTTCTAAATCACACCAGAAGGGAGGCCTGGTGTACCACAAGGATGTACTTTATGTTGCCATTTAGAAGGAAATGTTAAATAACAGGAAAGGAGAAACAGGAGAACTCAAATATCGTCAGCTCACAACAAAAATATTCACTACAAATAAGCAAAAAAAAGTGTTAGCTTTCAAAAAATGTTGCTGCTGCAATTGTTTATGAATTCAAAATTGTAGGCAATCTATAACAAGATAGGCCCTCACTCTGAAAATATATTTGCAATAGAAACTTAATATTTTATCTGGGTTAGAATGACTGAGAGTTCTGAAAATAGTGTGAATTCCAGCAGATTTGTATTCCAGTGTTTTTCTAGTCTGGATCAGAGATTGCACATCTACATGGCCCTATTGCTGACATGCTTTATTGAAATACTTGGCATTGAGGCTTCTTACTACTGTGGATTTATCTAGCCAGTCAGTTGCTTGTGTGCTTTGCTGAATTTTAGCCTTTATACTGCCAATCCTACTAATTACTGACTTGTATCTTAAGAGTATGAAGGTGGTGAAGAAGATTATGAAGAAGGAAATGAAACTGCTGAAGGAAGTCAGGAAGAAGAGGGTAATAAATCCCTCTCAGAAGAAGATGAGGTGAATTTTCTACAACCAGAAGTTATATTTACAAAAAGGTTCAGACAGAAAAGTGAAGTGTTGCAGCCTTATCAAACAATATGTATAATGATATTTTTCCTTTGTGATACTAATAAAATACACAGTAGAAAGACTAGAGTAGTGGTAGCTTGTGAGTTACATAGCTGCCATTTCCATGCTGAAAACTAAATATTTGCCTTTATGTGTAATTCTCCTAAATTATTTTATTCAGGATAAATAAAATATCCTGAATAAAATATATAGAATTTTATATATGGTCTAGCAATGCTGCAGGGTTTTAATAAAATCAGTTTACTATTGCTTGTAGGCTTCCATGTTGCTGTACTTTGACTTCTCATAAGCTTTTCAAGCCCAAAAGTTGGATTAGGGCAATAATATCAAACTTAGGTTCTCCTTCAAGGAACCTTAGTGTTCCATATCAGGAGTTCCTCAATAAGGTCAGCACTATCAGATAAGCTTCCCTGAAAGTCAGTTTCTTGGCCACTGGCTATCTTCTCTGCAAGAAACACTGGATATCTGTTTACTCCCTGGTGCTCATTTTTCATGAGAGGAAACTGAATCTCAGCATCCCTAGAAACCCTTACTAGTATTGCGTGTATTCTAGAACATTTCCAGAAATGTCTGCATTGTGCAGATATTCTGTGGCAAATATCAAATCCCCAGCAGATGATATAATACATGCCATTTTGGGTTAGAGAGGTATATGAATCTTTAGCCTCCCCCTGCCATCCCCATGGTTGTAGTCAAGTAATTGATATTCAAGACGATAAACCTTAAGAAAAAATTGAACCATCCCTATTCATAAAAGCAAACTAACTTTTGATGTAGGGTGTATCTAGAAGAGGGTTTTTTTAACTGTCCTGCAACATTGATGAAATTTTATGCAAGGTGGGGAAGGTTACACCTTCAGCTTGTAACCCCCCTGTGTCTTTCCAACATGTTATTTTTTTTAACTATAGTAAAAGAAAGAAAGATGGACCAGTTGTACAGTATCTTCCAAGTATTAGTACTAGGATTGCTTGTGTTGGGAAGCACCTTCAGAGTCTTCCCTAAATATCAGGTTTAGGAGCCTGAAATCTTTAAAAAAAGGAATGCTTCGAGAAACCAAATGTAATACATAGATAGAAAATATAAACCATATTTTGTTTTGAAAAACTACTTTGCATATTTTCCCCCACAGATGAAAGAAGCAGATGAAAGCACAGGGTCTGGTGATGGGCCAGCAAAATCAGTTCGCAAAAGGAGAGTACGCAAGGAATAGCTTATTTCCATCTAGTATTGGTGGTTCCTGGGTACAGAACACAGAAATGGTTTACCTAACAGCATGCAGGTTGTTAAGTCTTGAAAGACTGAATTCCTGTTATACTCCTACTACGACTTTTCAACCCCTCCTAAGCTTGTCAGATTTTTCCCTTATTTTGAAAAGCACTCCTACTTGTGAAGTTACCTGTATCTTCATAGACTAAAAGAAAAATGGTGATATGCCTGATTTAACTGTAAATATTGTTTGCAGTTATTTAGATAATATTGTTTGGAGATAACTTTGGCTTCAAAATATTACCTTTTTAAATGCTCATGTAAATTGAATTATATTTTTTCCAGCTGTCACACAATATACTGATCTTAAACTTAGAATAACAGGAATAAACAGTTGCAACATCAATTCAAGGATGCTTTCATAGAAACAGTTCACAATGAACTCTGCTGAGCTTAAAACAACAGCAACTGTACTTTAACTATTTATTACAGCAGCCATTTTTACTGTAATGTCTACCTATGCTTTGTTTGTCGTGTTAGTTTGACATTTGTTATGGTCACTGTTTGTTTTTTACAAAGCACCATATTGTCATTAATTATAGTTGATCGAACAGCTTGTTTTTTACATTCAAATGCAAAAATGTTAACTATATTCAAGTCAAATAATGTACAGGAGACTTTTTCACATTTTTATAGTTCCATGTTTCAAGCCAGAGTGGCATAATCTGTTTACAAAATATTTGCTAAGTGTATATTGCCTCCTAAATAAAAGTATTTAATATAATCTGTTTAAGTTAAACTCACTTATCCTTCTATTACTGAAAGGACTGTGTCTCATAATAAACTAGTCATACTGTAATCTTCTAACTGTCTGTAATACAGCCAGTGCAGTTGTCAAACTTCAGTGTAAAAAGTATCAGGATACAGATTTGTTAAAATCCAGAATAGTAGTTTAGTCTAGAAGTTCTTGATTTTATGGTATTTCCAGATTTTCAATTCTGGGACTTTTATCTTGATAAATGTTTAGATGATACACAGAATATAACCTTGGGCTGGAAAGTAAAAGGAATCATGGAACAGACAGCATGAATACCTTACTGGGTTGTATGCTATTGCTCAATTGACAAATTTCATCACTGCAGTACTTAGTATTGAGTTTTTTCGTCATGGTAAGTTTATCAAGACAACCAGCTTTTTGGCTGCCCTTGCTGCATTTTAACTTCTGTAGAATGGTCCTGTTGTAATGGCATTAATGTAGTAGCCAGTGAAAAGGTAAGGGATGCAGGCTGAGAGTCTGTATAGCCTTGTTGCCAGAGGATGATTTAGCTCCCATAATACTGTTTCTGTCAAGTGCTTCTTGACCTGACCACAGTTTTTTAAAAAGAAGCTAGGTGTGCATTTCAGTGTACAAAAGTGAGGAACCTTCATATTACAAATGGGCTTTATATGTATGCCAGTCAGTGCAGAAAAATGTGTTTCACCTCAAAAGCAAAAGTAACTCACAAGTCTCTGATTGCTACTGGAGGTAGCAGCAGTGTATGAAAACGGGTATAACCCAGGCATATGGGCCAGGGTAACTCAAAACACTGTTAGAAATAATTCAAAAAGCTTGCAATTTTGCCTTTAAAATGCCTTCAAACCAGATGAACTGTCCCTTATTTTTTTAAGCAGAACCGCAAAACTTTCAGGTTATAGGCCTTGTCTGTTGCCATGTAAATATATTTGTTGTCAAGTCATCCACCCCTCTCTGAAGAGACTACTATATGATTATGCTATTTAAATATTCTAGTATACTTTATAACACTTTCTTAGCTGGGTCTTGGTTACGGTTAAGTTATGTCTTCATTCCTTTTTATAACATGTTCATAGCAAGGCTCCAGAAGCAGCTTATGAAGACCAGCTTCTTCAACTCTCAGCTTCTTTGGTCATCCAGACTCCAGATGTGCATTTTAACCTTGTTGGTATGGAAACACCATGGTGTCCCATGGAAAGAACAGCTGCAGAAGTGGCTGCTCAGCCTTCTGTTATCTACTACCTTCAACTACCTGGCAACATGTCATTGCCAATTGTATATTGGCTGAAAGATATTTTCATCTTCCTGTTCACTTTCAGAAATGGAGAAAGTGGGTAAATAAAAGAAGGGGGTAATCACAACAAAATTGTTATATGGTTTAAAGAATATCTTTGAGGGTTGGAGTGGCTAGGGACCACTTTAGAAATGTAGGTACACTCAGGAGGAGAAAGAGGACAAACCCTCCTCAAAACCACAGTGGACCAATCAGGAGGTGGCTAGGGCCATAGAGAAAAATGGAGTAAGGAAGATCTCACTCTCAGTCTGCCAGGATATGTGTCAAGATCAGAACAGAGCAGGGAGTATGGAAACTATACTGTGTAGGAACCACATGTAAGTCTGGGCAAAGGTCTGCATTCCATGGAAACAGTACAGGGGCTTTGCTGTGATGTGTGAACCCAGACACAGAATTGAGTGTGGATTGTTTTAGCTATACCGACAAACTGTGGTTTATTAACCATTAACACATCACAACCCACCAACCGTGAATTCTTTTTGTGGTTTGAAGAAACCATGGTTGTTAAGTGTGGCATAGTACAACAGTCCATGGTTGAAAAACCCACATTCAACCCATACTTAACCTTGAGTGTGGATTGTCATCTTATGTAAATCCAGCCATTTTATCTTTCTTCTTCCCTTGCCCCAAAATAATTTTAGCAAAGCATGTTATCACTAAAAACTGCTGTGCCTGAATCATGTAATCCTAAAATACAGCTGCTAAGAAATCTTCAAGTTTCACAGCTGAGGGCCTACTTGCAAAACGCCAGAGTAGGTCTTAGTGGCTAACTAAAAAACAAGTAATTTTTTTGCCATTCAAGTAGGGACCACTCACCCTTTGCCTCTTAGGGGACTAATCTAGTCTCTCTTGGTCAGAATATCATTTGTTCGGGCTCAGTGAATAGTTGTTTTTTATTTATTTTGCAGTATTGCCGATACAAAATGATGGATCAGTTCTTTAATAGGTGACCAATGGTAAGCTCAAGTTTAATTTATAGGATGCTTGTCCGGATACTTTAGGAGACTAAAGTAAATGCAAAGGATTATCTGTAATCATCACAAACATGGTATCATTACCAAATGAAAGGGAGATACGTGATACAGAAGTTTAGATCCACATGAATGCTTGCATTCCTATAATGTAAAGAGCAGTAGTGTTGTCATCTCATTTTCAAGTCACAACAGAAATGTATTGTAAACTACCTACTAAAATATGAATTGATTCTACATATTTTAATGGTAAGCTGAAGTAGTCATTAGTGGATAAATCAGGTTAGGAAAGGAGAGTATAGTGCAGGGGAGGTTAGAAACAAGTATATGCATGAAAAAACGGGAACTCTACTGCAACATAACTTTCTTAATCAGCATGTGTCATTTACTAATGCAGCATTTTTTCAATGTTATAAATAAACAGACCAATAGAGATAAATTTGAAAGTTTTTTATTTAGTGTTAAATTTTGAAGTAACAGCACAATTAGTTGGACAAAGGCCACGACAGTGGGATTCGTCACAGTACCAACTATATCTAGAACACCAAAATTCAGTAACTAACAATCCATCCCCTCATATCTAGATGGCATCTTCCCACACAGCTGTTTGCTCAATCCGATGCTATACTGGAAGTGTGAGAAGCAATTCCTATGGAAAACAAGTTGGTGCCTGCCACATAATCTCTTGCTTGTGGTATACTTCCAGCCTCTGCTAATACCCAGATGCTAGTGGACTTTGAAGACATTAGTGATGTGCAAAATCCACCTTCTTGTGGAGTATTCTGAGAAAAGTCAGGTTGTTCCTCACCACATATCCAAAGCCTCTGAAAGATCAGTTCTCAGACAATTCAGTCACGTAACTGAGTTTCTTTCCTAACTAGTTCTACCTAAGTGGCCACCCTCATAACCATTTTCCCTGATTTTCTAACCACTTTTCCCAAGTTGACCGAACTGTGGGTAAAGGAAAGAAAGTAAAATATGGTTTTGAGTGGTTTTCATGCTCCGTTTGCTCAGAGTATGTGAGAGCCATGTGTGTGGGTGAGTGGAGCACACACTCGCTAGAATGACTGTTCACAGCAGCAGCTCTGAGCTTGCTTAGAAGCCTTCACTGCTGAGCAAGGAAACAACTCTATATTTCAGTCCACCTTCTCTACAACTTTGATAGGCTAGGCAAGGAGGAGAGAAAGAGAAAATGATAAGTAGGCAGGCTAATTCAGAGCCATCACAAACCCAACTAAAATTGGAAAGAAGGGATTTATACACTGAAAAAGCTTGTTTCCAACTCTGCCCCTTGCCTTAGTTTTCAATATTCACTACCAGAGGCAGACAGTAGCCAGAAGGCACATACCACCTGAAACATTTTCCATGTATATTCTAAAATGAGAATAAGCAACCTGGTATCCTCCAGATATGTTGGGCCATGACTCCCATAAGCCACAGCCAGCATGGCCAATGACAGGGATTATGGGAGCTATAGCCCAACACATTTGGTACCAGATTGCCTACCCCTATACTAATGATGCCAAGGTTCCTCAGTTAAGCATTATGAAATTATACAAGGCACCACTCAGTCTTACTCTGCCATTCCAAGATGTGGTCCAAAACATGCCCCATTTTCAAAACACAATTCCTATTTTGATGTGCAAAGGCTCTTTGGGTAGATGGCTTCCTGAAGGTATAAAGCTAGAAGCAAGTCACACTGGTTTGTTTAAATTCATCTTGCCTAGATGCTACCTACCATCCATCCATGAAGTTCTATGCCCTAAATACACATCAAAGACTTACTTGCATCCTGTGCCCAGAATGGGGTGCAGCAGCAGCAATCCCCACCACTGCTGCAACTCACATTGAGTGTTTTACCTAGATGACTGTTTTCAACTGTCCAGATAAAGCACTGGAGAGGAATATGGAAGGAGAGAGATGCTGGCAGGAATTGATACAAGTCCTTGGTCCAAGCATCTTCCCTCCCCATGGCCCCAGTATACCCCCTTTCTCCCCCTCCAAGGCCCAGTTGCAACTTTGGATGATAATGGATAGCCAGTGCAGTTCTTTTCACACCAGCTATGAGATGGGACAGGGTGGGGCTGGACCTCTGAAGTCCTGACTCCAAGACACCAAATACTCCTATGGCCCCCTAAACCATCTCTGGAGGCCATACGATTCCACCCTAAATCTCTGTCCTGCCACAGAAGGCTTTATTTATCTATTAAAATATTCCCAGTAATGGGAATATTTTAGCTGCCATCTAGCACCTTTACTTACAGAGTTAGGTTGGCTTCATTACTTACAATACTGACAGATGGAACCCCAGGATACCATCGACACGTGCTACATAAAAGTGAATACTGAAGATGATGATACTGCTTTGTGGTGTCCTTTATGGCCTTTTGGGCCTGCAAACTTAAGAATGGGTATATAAACTTGTCCACAAGGAGGAAAGTAACCTGTTGCTTATGACAGAAATCAACTTCTTCACTCTTAAACCAGCAGTAAGGATACAGCTGCAAGAAGATCCCAAACAAAGCTAGAACCAGATCAAACAAGAAGTTATTCCATTTTAAACAGTCTTGTCTCCTGGCTACTTATATTCTTAAGTTTTAAACATGAGATATCTGCCCACATGTCTTATCTACTTCATATAATGTATAACGCCACAGACTTGAGGTTGCAGCTATATATGCATGCAGTTGATTTGCTTGTTTGTCCCTGCATACTCACTCATCAATCATATTGGTACTAATCTGACTGAATGACATTGGGATGAAAAGCATCTGACACTCTCTCTAGCAACAGCTAATACTACTTTAGATGCATGCCTCATGATCTGAAAACCCTAGCTTGATTCTGCTTCTGAAAGACAAACCATTTGTAACAGCTAAAGCCTAGCAACAATTAGTAAGAATTATACAGAATCTCTCTATCTCAAATTCATCCATTCTTAAGTAAAAAAAACCCGACATGATATCTTCTAATTGTTTACAACATTATTTCTTAGACACGTGTATCATTAAAGACCATTACAGATGGCAAGGAAGTATTGCCATGCAGCTAACTCTTCTGGAAACTGGGGAAGACAATCGAAAGATGGCAGCACTGTAAAGAACGAAAACCTGGTTCCTTTTTGTGTACTACGCTCTAAAGCAAGTTTGCTTTTGAAAAGTTACAAACTATCCATTCACGAGAGTTGTGTCAGGTTTTCCAGTGGTTTTGTTCCCCTTTACGATCTTGCAAGCTGTCATACTATGTTACTACACCCTTACTTTTTTGCTTTAAAGTATTCAAAAAGCAAAACAATTTGCTTTTATCTGGAAGAATTCAGAATAGCACTGAGAAAGGTGAAGAGAAGAAAGGAGACAGGTTCTTTTTGAGCCAAGGGGAAGACATGCAAATAACACATTCCAACAAGGATTTCACATTAGTCTACACAACACTGTATTATTTTGCTAGTGAATAGTACCACTGTAAAAATTGCAATATTTAAAGTTCTTGGCAGTGTGTGACATGTTAATTAAACAAAAACAGAGCTGAATTTCAAAAGTACTTGTCTTCAGACTATGTAATAAATAGTGCCCCCACATTACTTTGCACACTGTTTGCACACTACAGATTTGCATTTTCCAGTATTTCATTAAAAACTTTAAAGTAGTCTAGAACTGCCATTAGATCTTCAAATATTCAATGATGCTACAAACTAAGTAGTCTTAAGCAATTTAAAATTTAAACAAAAGCAGCAGCAATACAATGGTAAAGTTTGGTCATCAACCCTTCACTTTCGTTTGCTTTTTGTGTCAGTAGTCTGAAAAACACTAGAAGCAGACATCAGATTTTCTATATATTGTCCAAGAACTTGATTTTCTGATTTCAGTTTCAGGTTTTCTTCCTTGACAGCATCTACTCTTGCAGACAGATCTGTAATGACACATTAAGACCTTTAGTCTTTGGAACCACTGCACCTGCTCCTTAGGGGTTTTAATCAAAATGCATTTTTTAAAGTCACATGAGAACAAAAACTAAAGGCACCCATATAGATGTTTAGACAATGAATACATGTTCTTAAGAACAGTAATCTAGTATCAAAAAGGCATCAAATCTGATTCCAGGGAGAGCATTCTACACTCAGAGATAAACTAAACCAAAGAAGCCGCTTTATGAATCACTTCTGAAATCAAGGTGATCCACAGAAGAGCCTCCAAGGGAAAATTTTGTAGGAGTACAGGTGATCCTTAAGGTAAGACAAGGATCTTGAATGGAGCCTGAAAGTAGACCAGGAACCAGTTATTTTAAGATCAGAAAATTGTGTTCCATATTCCCAGTCAGTAATCTAAGCTGGTATATTTTATGAAAATTTCAATTTCCAAACTGTTTTCAAGGACAGGCCTGCAAGAGATGTAACATTTATGAAAAGTTTAAAGCCATGGGAAACCTGGAAATTTTGGGAAGCCCAGGTGGCTTATCATGTTGTATTAACATAATTACAGTATTCTCTCTGTGACTTAAAAACAATTGAATTTGTAGTTAATGCAATTTCTGGACTACAACCCAGAGTCACAATCCTCAGGCCTCTTACCTACTTGTATGTCCAATCATATGTAAACAGATTTACTTAAATGTGCAGTCTGTAGTCTGTAACTTTATTTTGTTAAAGTAATTCTGCATGTATATAAGTTACCCTTCTGAGTTGCAGAACTAACCTTCAAGTGTATGCTGGAGTTCCAAAACCTGATTAATAAGTCGTGTTTTTTCTTCCAATTCTACTTGATTTTCAGCCTCAACAGCTGTTAAGAAACAGATAATATTTAGAACAGCTAAATATTACAATACACAAGAGTGAAAACTGAAAGGTAATTACAGTGCTCTTTACCATCCATATCTGCATTCATCATTGTTGAATAAATCCTATCTACTCTTGAACTCCGTACTTCACAGATGTGGTTTGCTGAAAGGAAAGAAAATATCAGTGGCACAAGCATACACGGAACCAACTTTTCAGTCATATTTTGTAATCTGAACAATCACCAAGTCTTGAAAAGGCTCCTGTGAAAATGGATAATCTTAGCTTTGTAGATTTACCTATTTTATGGAATAATAGTAAATTGCCATTTTCCAGAAACAAAACTATATTCATAAGGAACAACTCAGAAACAGGGCACATAACCAACCTCTTTCCCAATAGCAGCAAAATCTAGTCTCATTTTGCACAAGACAATATCCACTTCCCAATTACCACTTTCAACATTTCTAGGATGTACTTTGCATGAAGATATATATTTTGAACCTGCTTGTTAATAACAACTGATATTCTTAGACTTTCATTAATATTGATAGCAATGACCCAGAGACAGCACCCATTAACAGAGGGCATGATCCTCCTTGCCCTCCCCACCCCCGTCCCCACCCAGCTAGTGCAGAAAGAACAGCACTGATTGCTTCTCCAAGGTTGTGAAAGTGACCTGGAAAGGGAGTGTTTTGGAGGGAGAGGCTTGAAGGAAAGGAGACTGGGGCCACCTGGATACAAGCTATTCTGACAGCACTTCAGCCTCCCCAAGCATCTTAGCTAGATAGCAGATATGAGCCATCTAGCTGAATTACTAGGGGAGGTTCCCCTGTTTTGCATTGGATGCTCTGCTCCTAAGCCTCCAAGTTCAGCCTCTAAACCTCTAAGCTTATAGGCAATCCTACCGATCGCACCTTTACTCGGTTTTAAGCAAATACGGGTAGCAACAGTGAAATCCAAACTTAATCGCTGGGTTTGCAAAAAAGAGCGTGTTAATTTCTTCATGTTAATTTCAATAGGTGCCTTGGAACTGCAACATCTATGCATGTTGTATCTTACACCCCACACACGTATAACATGACTGTAGAAGAGTAACGTTTCAGACCCACATCTTCAACATTATTCATGGTTTCGATACGTTTCTACTCTAAATGGATGCATTCCCCATTACCTGACAAACAGAAAGGAGGAAAGAGAGATCTCTCTCCTTGAACATAGAGGGGTCCACAGAAAAAGACCCCCCACAAGAAATGGATGACGGGTATTGACGTCAGGCACCGTGGGTCCTTCTAACATGCAAGGCTGTGTATGTGAGATCATGTTTGTTCCTTTTCATTCCGCCCACAAATTCGTCGTATGAGGTAAGTGTGCGGCGATCGCAGCTACAAGAAAGGCGGAGAACCCATCCCTTTCCTCGCATACTCCAACCCGCCGCCGCCACCACCACCACCCTAGAAAAAGAGATGCAATTTTACATCCCGCAAATGAGGTCCAGAAGGAGGAAGCTCTCGGACAACACGGCCATCGGTCTACTCCCTTCCCAGCAGCAAGCAGCGTCCCAGCTCCCGCGGGAGTCACCCGGCAAGGGAGCGCGCGCCGCTACGCCCTCTCCCCACCTGCCCCCTGGGTGGCGTGGCAGAGCGCGCGTACTCACCACCTGCACAGGTTGCCCTCGGACCCCTACCCTACCCTAGTTCAAAAAGCGGCCACTACGCCTGCGCGGCTTTCTCTTTGCCTGCCCGGCCGGCAGCGCACGCGCCTTGCCCCATGAAAACAACCAGAAGGGAGGGGGAGCGGGGAGGGCTTAGGAAGAGGCGACTCCAAAAATCGCCAATCGTAGCAAGGACTCTTCGCGATACAGCCAATCGGATAAGGGAGACATCAGCCGACACTTCCTAGTCGTCATTTCATTGGCTGTAGGCTGGGTTCCTGGTCTTTGCCGGCCTGTCTGCTCTCCTGCAAGTGGAAGGAGGGAGGTATGCAGGAGGGAGATCAGACGTTGTGTCTCTCGTTCTTTGCTGTTCCCCAGTAGGCGAAGGCAGATTTCTTTCCCAAAGAGGCCCACTGTGCCAGTATTAGGAAGCTAAGGTAGCAGGCTGTTGAATTTTCCCGAAGATTTGTGTTGCTGCTGTTTATCTGGATTTTGGATATTTCACTTTCTCAGGAGCGTTAGGAACTCTTTCTAGTGCTTTTAGATTTTTTGCCTGATTTATCTCTCTCTTGGTTTTCTTTTGTGATGCTGATGGTTTTATTTTACGTTTATCCTACCAGATAACGTAGATTAATACTGACGGCAAAACAAAAGTCTCAGTCTATGCTGAGCTGCCCAAAAACCTTGTGTGAAAAGCTGCTTTGAGACTGCTTCAAAATTACCTTTAAGTGTAGTGTTCTTTTAGTATTTTGAAGAAATGTATTTGATACAATGTGGCAAAATTATAATACAATTGTGCACTACACATGAACAAGGAAAAACGAAGCCAGAAAAACAAAAACATTTTGGGAATATCTGAATGTAGGTGTCATTTGGATGTGGGTTAATCAACAATAGGCATCCTGATAAGATGGAAATGATGGGTAGGCTATTCCCACGGCTAGGAACTGGGCCAGCTGCTTGTTCAGGATGGCATGCCATTCCTTCAGAAGAATCAGGTATGGAGTTTGGGAGTGCTCCTGGATCCATCTTTGACACTGGGACCCAAGTGACTGGGCATCTCAGTGCTCCAAAGTACCCATTGCTAACTTTGTGGGGTGCACCAACTGTGCACATTCCTAGATAAGGATGGCCTAGCTGCTGTGATCCATGTATTGGTTACCTCACAGTTAAAGTATTGTAATATGCTCTATGTGGGGCTGCCACTGTACCTGGTTTGGAAGCTATTGCAGAATGCAACTGGTAGGTTGCTCCCTGAGAAACCTAGCTAGACTCCTATGGTACTTGTGTTAAAAGAACTGCTTGGGCTGTCAGTTCAAGGTTATGTAATAGACATACAAGGCCTGACACAACTTGGCCATGCACTACAAATACCCAGCCAACCTTTACGATCTTTGCAGGCCTTGCTCGTTGCTTCCTGATTAACAATATTACCATGTAATATATCAAAGGCATGCCTTCTCATGTATAGTGTCCGTCCTCTGAAAAAACCTCCCCAGTGTAATTCCAGAGGCAAAAGAAATGGCACCCAGGTTTTCTCTATCTTATAAGTAACAGACATTCATTATTTGCTGAACCATTTTACTGTGCCTTGTTTTGTACTGCTACTGTAGTTAGAGTTGTTTTTATATTGTATTTAACTGTACTTTTGTTACTGTAGTTGAAATCATTTTAATAGTGTTTTTAACTTTGATTTTTAATATTTCTCTGTGACAAGCTTAGATATTTTATTAAGCAGTAATTGTATAAATAAGACACTCATTTGTATCTCCAAAACTGTTATTTTTCACATACAAATCAATTTTATTATGGTCACAGACCAGCTTAACACATGCACCTGCTATCCTTCCTCCAAACATCATTGCCTTTATTTTCACAACAACCCTACAAGGTTGATGTAAATATAATGTAGTAGTGTGATTTAGCCTTGACCAAGGCTAAAGAACTGCTTGCTTGAACCCAAATGATTGTGTACAGTGACACTTAGGAAGAAGCAGGATATGGTTGCATTGCAAGAAATAGAACACAGGGATCAATCAGGCCAGAAGGTGCAGGCAGTGGATACATCAGAGGCAAGATTCTTCCCATTCCATGAGAAACCAGTTCAGGAAGAAAAGCAATAAGTACCCTTTACCCCAGGTTTGGAATACTCTGAGGACCAAGCTAAGTATGATGGTGCAGGCACCTTGAATTTAAGCAAAGAACTACCCAGTAACAATATTGGTTGCAGGGTCTAATTTTTACAATATAAATGAAAGAAGTCAAACCCTTCCCCCTCTCATGAATTATCTCCTTGTAGTTCCTTTCCCACATATGTTTTTCCTGCAAACATGGGTTCCTCAATGAGAGGTGCCTGGTATAACCCCATGATGGCCCAGATAGCTCAGATCCTTGAGTACTGATACTGCTGCCAGCAGGATAAACCCATTCTCATCACTGGTATTCCAAAAATTGCAGGGGGTTCTGAGCACAGGGCTCAGCCTTGGGAGCTGTGAGGGGGTTAAGAAGAGAGTGTGCCTCAGTTGCTGACACTGCCATGCAATCACACCCAAGCCCTACACATCTGGTAACAGAGAGAATGGGCCTTCTGTGGAGTCTGGAGCCGTCTCCTTTCCCTAGCAGTAGATTGTTGTGTTGTAGGTATCCATCCCTTTTTTTTTTTTTTTTTTTTGCCCTTCAGGCTTGTCGGTATGAAAAAGATGTTAAAAATATATTGCTGAGGAAGTTTGCAAAATGGATAGAATGAGGGAGACCTCTGCTGTCTAGAAAGGGAGGCACAAATGCATTTGCTGATGAACAGTATCGGTTGTACCCAAACTTAAATTTTATAGTAATGTACAACCTTCCACCTCAATCTAAAATTGGTCAGGTTTGTTTTGTTTCTAACAAGACAGTTTAGTGAGTTCTACATTCATATAGGGGCTGAACAGCAATTCTTTCTGCCTCACAGCAAATGCAAGTTGTTTGTGAAATGGAATGAAGGTATAGTATTTACATTTTAAACATATCTTTTTGAAGCCAGCCATTGTCTGGGACTAAATTTGCTCTGGTTTCAGTGGAGCATGATCCTAGATGAGTGTGTCTGAGATTGCAGCATTTTACAACTGAAATTTTATGTCAGCCTCTTCATGAGAACTGTACATGCTACTAGAGAAAGTAATGTAAAATTTAACTTCTCCCCAAGATTTCCTTTAATTGTAAGAGCTGCATCTTATCTCATTTATAGCATTTTGCACATATGTTGCCAGCAACTTCTTTCCTCCCATTTATCTAGTGCTGTAACTCTAAAAATGGCAGTGAAGTACCTTGAGAGAACCCTGTGACAATCTTGCAGCTGCCCATGAATAGACTGAATTTAAATCAACATATTAAATAGGTATTGGCATAGGCATAGTGAATACACTTGATAGTTCCATACATGCCCACATCTACAGTATGACTGGACATGAAAAGAAGTACACTATGAATAATAGGAAATGGTCCCCACCGGTGTGCATGTAACATAGATCCAGCTTTCCACAAGCACCAGTATAGAAGTAGTCATGCAGTGAAACACAGTTGCAGATACCAGACCTATTGCTATTGATTTCTGTGAGTTTGACCATGACTAGGTGCATGCTTTCCACTCTCTCAGCTGGCATGGTTCTTTTCATGCTGGCAGTGGCTCCAAAGTTATGAGTTTGGGGCCTGTGATGTGTATGGTTCATGCTACAGGAGCACCAAGAGTACTGTGACACGCCAGTCAAATGGTTGTCACTTAACACCTGCTAAACATGTTGCCCACTGTATTCCTCAGAAGAGCTATTGTATCTATTTTGTAGGTGCCTTTCAAAAGGTATGCCTATGAAAATTGAGGGGAGGGGGTTCCATTACTCTCTGTCCAACTGTTCATATAAAAATGAACAGGCATTTGAAGAGATTCATAGTTGATCCTTGCCCTTTCTGCCATGCAGTTAATATAATTAGAGATGCTGTCAATTGTTTGCCTTTAGAAAAGGCCCCCTTAAACCCATATAATCCCTTTTAATCCCTGCAAACAGGCATCCAGTGCTATAGCTGTGGCTTCATAACTTATCAGTGGCACTTTCCTATTGGCTAGTGAAATACTGCTAGGATAAAGAAAGCTATGTCTCGCGCAACAAAATGGCCTGACCTCCTGGTTGCAAAGCCAGCCTAGCAACCAAGAGGTCGTTTTAGGCCCCTGGCGTCACATTGCTTCTATGATATTGCCAGAGCACACAAGTTCCTGTTTCCAGTTGATTTAATTCAGTGCTCAAGGAAAATGTAGCAATTATACTGTACGTTGCTGCTCAGGATAGAAGATAAACAAAAACATGACAAAAGTGGGGGGGGGTGTCCTCCTCTCTCCACTTGCTCTTTGCTGAGGCTCATCAACCCTGCACTTTCCTTGTCTTGCAATATCCTCTGTTTTGAAAAGACCGATGTTTAAATTGCTTTGACTTTCATTAATGCCACACTTTAATAATCAGTTCATTGGTTTCATTTCATTGAACAAGATATAATATCCTTCAACCTTATTAAGAATTAGCATGCAGAGCCAAATAGAGTACAGTAGTTTTAAAACCACTGTCGTACCAAATGTACTAATGGAAATGAACTACCAAAACAAGCCCACAGAACTGTCTTCTTTAGATAAGCCTTCTCCTGTCATTGCAGTTTGATTCCAGAAGTAAACACATTTGTTTCTCAACCTTTTTTTTAAATCCCCTCTTCTATTTTATCCTCACAACAATTCTGTGATGTAGGCCAGGCTGAGAGAGAGGGAGAGCAACCTATGAGGAAACTCCATAGCCGTGAGGTGATTTGAATCCAGTCCCCTGCCACCAATATTTTCTTATACTTTCTTATACTTTCTTATACTTTTACTTTCTTATACAAGCACTAAACCACAGAAGTTTTCACTTTAGTGCCTACTTTTTAGGTTTCAGACAGATTGTCCACCCCTGCCCCGAAATCTGTGGGAGTCCATATTCACCACAACTTCAGAGACTAAGTACTAGAATCTACCAGGTTTTCTCTCAAATGGAGCAGGGAAGAGCAAGCTTCTAAGGCTAGCTGTCATTGCACCTCTGACTTTTAAATGCATGCTCAACAGGATGCAGGAAATAAATCT